GGGGGGGGGTTAGCAGATTTGCTTAATTTAGTCGACCAAATCGTGGAAAAACTCGCGACCTCGGTGGGAGTCGAACACAAACAGAAGCTGAACCTAGTAGTAATTCAGGTGGATTTGAGACGATTGCTTAGGAAATTCTGCCTGGGCAGTCAGCTTGCTGTACCTGTAATGGTGGATTCCATAGGATCAGCAGGTTGGGCGGGTAAATCGACACAGGTGTGATTAAATTCACGGCGCACGGTGAGCCTCGTAGTTCAGTGGTAGAGCGTCGGCTGCGCAAAAGCCTTCCCTGTTGTGTGTGGGTTCGACTCCCACCGAGACCGCGAATTTTTCACGATTAGGCCAACTGAGTAAAAAAACGGCTAAAATGGTCCTTGATTAGACAGGAAAAGTTATATTTAGTGGCTCGGCGCATAACGATTGGATACAACATTAAGTTATCCTGCCTTAGGGATCATTCTCAATCCCACCAGTAGTCATACAGAAGAACAGTGCCGACAGTGACCGCTGTGAAACTGTTAGCGGGGCTCTAGAATGAACCCCAAAGCACTATGGGACAAAGTAATCCCGTATCCGATCAGTGTGCGCACGTCTACTCAAGCAAATATCCCCGACGATAAGATAACTCAATGGTTAGAGCGTTGGACTTCTAATAGGCAGGCCGCAGCTGGGGGACTTCGGGTGGTGCAGTACTTAGGGTTCGACAGGGTCATCGCTAGAATCCGCTGATGCAGAAACCTGGAGTGTTTCGGAAGGCTAGGTTGCCTTCTACCCGGTGACCGCTGTGTTTAGCCAGGCGTGATGTCATTTTCGCTTCCGCTAGGGTATAAACGTCTAGTTGTTGGACCAATATAACCCGCTCCATAGGAGCAAGTAAATGTGTAGATTCCCATTGAAGAGATCTGAAACAGGAGTGAATTCTTGCCTTCAAGGCGAGAAAGTGGAGGGCTTGAAAAGACTAGTCTTATCTTAGCAAATGAATAGGTGCACGCAATTGTAGTGTTTAAACAAATATATAGAAGTTGGGTCGCGGGATTCCCTCCAAAAGGCAATTTGAGAAGATTTTTTAACGCATCCGGAGATAGTGAGGTAGCCAGTTCGTATTTTTGGAGGACGGGATTATTCTAGGTACAGCGATTGCTGTCTGAAAAGTTCCGTCTGGTTGTAGGCCAGTAATGTGTATGCACACGCTTATGGATATTTGGCACATTCTAACCCTGTCATTCTCTCCCTCTCACCCTCCCACTCTTTTCACAGGCGACGTGATCTTTATTGTAAAGGCGAAGAAACATGACACCTTTGTCCGTGATGGTCACAACCTCGTCCACATCGCCGAGATTCCTGTAGCCCAGGCTCTACTCGGCGTGACATTGGTCATTAAAACCCTTGATGACAGAGTCCTCCGCGTCGCCATTACCCAGGTTGTCAAGTACGTAACCCATCCATTTACCATTCTTTAATGGCAATTAAGATATGTGCTAGTCAAATGAAGTACTGAATGATTGAACCGTAATACAGCGACATATTCCTAATCCGCGATGGGTGAAAACCCTCAAAGTAAACTCCACATGCTTATACGGTTATTTGTATATATTTTAACTCCTAATAACCCCACACGAAATTCTTTTTTAACGTTTTACGCCCCGTCATACATCATAAGCCATTGATGAAATTGTGTACAGTAGATTCCTAATCTCATAAAATTTATTTTCAATTCGAACATATTACTTCAGTATGGTTGCAGTAATGAATACAGTATAGCCAAATCTCGATATATTTCAGTCACGCCAGGATGCCGGCTTCTGACCGCCTACAAAACGAAATTATGTTAAAAATTCCTTTTTGAGTATTATGCATTTTTAACATTTATAAAACAACGTATCTATCCATTTACTAGTGCTTTTTGTAAATCATATAACTTGATCCACATCTATTGCAACATTGTATTAGAAAAAAACAAATTCCTCAAGTTTTAAATTTAAAGAAAGCGTAATATTCTACCGAAAAAAAGAATATTTTTGTTCACATTTTCTAAAAAATATATATTTGGATACGCAAGCTGGCTGAAAATCAATCAGAAAAAGGCATACTGCTTAAGTAGCCATTTTTAACCTATATATGTTTTTTGCAGGTGGGCAGAAGGAAATTATTTTAAAAGCCAGCATCCTGAAGTGACTAAAAACATGTTGAGAGAAGGTTGTACACAAATCATTTGTGCAGCCACACTAAATTAGCATGCTTGAATCGAAATCACATTTCGGAATTTCGGTTGACATTTAATGAGCTAGGTACTCTACTTTATGTCAATGTATGGTTTATATGGAGAACGGCATTGAATTCGTGTAATATGCCGACATATGCGAAAGAATGATACTCTTTCGATAAATGGCATTAAGTGAAGTTGTAATACCAATTATCATGTAATCTATTCTGAAATGATAACAGTCACGATAGGATGCTGGCTTTTTAACGTGTGTCTTTCTGGCGGCTTACAAAACGTCTACTGTAAAAAGGTGGTTACTTATATAGTATGTATTTTATCATTGATTTTGACTGCCTTTATAAATTCAAATATGTTTTATGGAAAACATAAACGAAGAATTATTTCTTGTACTCTTGTGGTAGCAAAATATGCTTCTTTAAATGTTACACGTAAAGAAAGGGTATTTTTCGGTTTAAAAAAGTTTGAATTTATAAAGGTAGTCAAAATCAATGATAAAAAGGCATACTAGTTAAGCAGCCATGAGTTGTAAGCGGTCAGAAAGAAGCTCGCTAAAAAGCCGGCATCCTATCTTTAGTGAAATGACTTTAGAATAGACTAGCCGATAGTTAGTATTACAAACTTACTCAATTCCGATTATCGAAATAGTATCAATCTTTCGCATATGTCGACATGCAATACAAATCCGAGGCCGTACTGAATGTACCATGTACTTCTTGTATATCATTGAGGAGGTAAAGTTATAACGTTATGCAGTCCTTCGCCAATAATTTCCCTTTATAAAATAAATTAGCGAAAGCGGCAGGGGAAGCATGTACCAGAAATGACAACGTTCTTTACCCGTAAAAGTCAGCGAACCAGAGAAAATTCGGTAATACGCTTGTATATACAATCCGCGATAGAGTAGAAATTCTAAAGTCGACTCATGGTATAATGAGAGATTGTTGTGGAGAATTTACTTTCCCGTTGAAAGATGAGGCAAGTGGGAAAAAATGAGCTACGTTTTCATTTTGGATGTCCATTGTTTAAAAACTGACATTTAACAAAAAACTTAAACAGCTCTTTTAGATTCATGTGGATGAAATTGTACTTTAGTGAATTGAAGAAAAATTTAGAGTGGATTCCGAAACTGAAAGTTGCACTATGTACGGCAGTGGGGATAGTAATTTTTGAGGGGCCGCGGTCAAAGCCACCGTTGGGAGATAGGCATCTACTTTTACATCTGAACAAATTGCAATTGTGGGATTCGAACACAGAGGAAACATACAACTTGATATGTACTTCAAGTCAGCCTGACACAGGTGTTAGACTTTGATAGTTGAAAGTACTTGCACTTACTTACACCTATGACTTCTGTGATCATGCCCGATCTAATCAACCTCGATCTTATCGCGCATCGGACGTCTTTATGCCAAGTGCTCTGCAGCGCTCCAAACATTCTCACCTCTTGCGACGGAGATCACACGCTGACGACCGAGGAACAGATAGGGAGATGTGTTTTATTTTGAAAACAAAATGCAAACATTTGCATCAAAAACTTCTTTAATTCCGCGTGAATGAAATTAGGCACACAGTAAGCGCTGCATAGTGGTCGAAAACTGCAACGCTGCCATCATCATGACGACCCGTCCTTGAATGGGTCGCAAAATCTAAGAAAAATTGGACTTCCTCAAAACCAATGCTAGTGTCCCGTCCTAATAACCTCATTGTTGTACTTAGAGCAAACAAAGAGAGATAAAATCAGTTTGGAATGGGTTCAGCAGTTCAACCGAGATCTTAATGCAAATGGAAGGCAAAGACGGTGTTGCGTTTTCGAAAGCCCGGCAACGCACCAAAACTGAGGTTTAGTACACCGACTTCCCTTTAAAATGTTGCGAAGTAGGATGGCGGTACTGTGACATTGCGGAAATCAATAGTCACGAAGTACGTGTTCTTGCCACCACTGTCTTGTACAATATGGCGAGTGTTGCAAGAAAAATGTCGCAATCTGCGAAAGACTGATAAACAGTCGCAAACCAACCTGCAATACTGATTATCCTGCAGCCTTATCTCACGTCTCTTCAGTAACGCCAGGATGACAGCTCTCTCTTCTGATCGCTTACAAAAATTAGTCTCTGAAAAAATAGTTACCTAACTAGCATGCATTCTTACCACGGATTTTGACTGCGTGTTTATTTTACAGAAAACATGCACGAAAAGTTTTCTTCTTGAACTAGTTTGATAGAAAATCACACCTTCTGTAAATTGTGTACTTAAAGAAAGTGCATCCTTCGGTTTTAGAAAAATGTCTAATTAGGAGATTTTTACGACTGTGAAGTTTTTCATACATAATACATTTTAGCCGTAAATTTATTAATTCTGCCTAGAATGCATAAAACATGAGCAACATCTATTGCAAAATGTTATGAGAAATAGGCACCCTCTTCTTCAAACCGAAGGCAAATGTTTTTTACCTTAAACAGAATGTACACAACATGCTGGTTGGAAACCTTGAATTCAGATGTAGCAGTCGGTGCATTTCAACATTATTTGGCAATTTGTCATCTTTTTTAAACCGAAAAATAACCGTTTCTTTTAGTATAAAGTTAAAAGAAAGCTTACTTTGCCATACTGTAGTAAGGATTTTGAGCGGAAGCGCTAGATTAGGAAACCTAGAGTCTTGCTTGTACTCAAATTTACAGACCACTCCATAAACGTACATGGGCGTTGATACAAGTAACATAGTTTAAAATGAGCGGGCTCAATTGTAGTTTGCTCCACATTTTTGGCTGCAACAAACAAGCGGCGACGCAAAAAGATTTGCGAAATGAAAAAAAACGGCGAAAAAGGTGTAATGGAACATGTTGTGTTTTGGTGTGACGTATTTGCGCACTTTAATTCCACGGTATTTGTCAGACGGACTCAGTCTCTGCCAAAAAAGAGATACAAAGAAACGGCAAATGCTTAAGAAAGAAGGTAAATCCCACAGTTCTAAAGTGATTTATAAACCCCATTTCGGGCCTTATGAGCAGGGGCAAATCATGTCGATGGACTTGCCGGCTTCTGAAGCGAAAAACGAGGTTGAATGGCATAGTTTGGGTCGTCTTGTGTTAAAATTCCACACATTTTCAATTAATTCTTTTTATATAATGAGAAAAGGCTCGGTGGCCTCGGTGAAATTCGAAATCACAACAGCTTGGAGAAAGCTTATAAACAACCAAAATGCCGGTCGCCGGTGCTACGAGAACACATTGCGAGCTGTGATTAAAATCGAACACACATGGATCACTAAAGCGCTCAGCCTATTTCAGTGTATGGAAAGTACCAATTCAAGGAAAGACGTTCTTTGAGAAGATAAGGTAACTCTATTCAGTAAATTTTCGACACTAGATCCCCAGATTGTCGTCAGACTTGAGAAGATGTGCGGCGAACAATTAAATTTTCAAAAGTGCTGGTACAGTTATATAGTCATCTGGTGTGGGCGCTAACCGACAGCTGCGATCTGTGTTAGTTCATGGTGGACAAATATAGTAGTTGCAATAGCGTAATAATCAATTGGAAACTGTAATTTGCGTCAGTCCGGGTCATCCGCTGTGGGCGCTAATTATTATTTGTGGTTTCCGTTAGTCCGTAATGATCAGCTCTCGTCTCTCCCATCTTTCTTTGAGATAAGTGTACACTCCATCCAACTCGATACACCGGTAGATGCATTAATCATCAGAGTTTATGGCCTCAATAAACTCCCGGCCTTTCTTGAAAGGCAAACTCCGCCGATGCGTGTTTTGTTCCATGCAAAGGTGTGACCTGTATCACTGCAATGCATAGCCACTTCGGACAATCGACCACGTCTCTTCACTGCCAATTAGTATTCGTTGATGCGTGTGGAGACGGATCTTTCCATTTGCCCACAATATACGGTATCACAAGCTTCGCAGGAGATCTTTTAGATGACTTTGTTCTTATCGGGGTAGCCAACCCTATTTTTAGGCTGCATTAGCTAGGTGCGTATCATAGCCGTCGGTTTGTGCGCCACTTTTATGTGGTAGTTCCGCAAGTGCCTTTCAACGAGTTCAGATACACACATTCACCACGTGTTTGTTTTGGGCATCTGAGTAGAACTGTCTGATTCCTTTTTGTTGGATTGTTGCTCTTTCATGAATCGGTGTACATACTCACTTTTGAAATTTTAATTGTTGGTTGCACATCTTCTGAAGTCGGACGACGACCTGGGGATCAAGTTTCGAACATTTACTGACTTAA